AACTTTCCAACTTAGGGCCAACAAATATAATTTTAAGCACTTGCATCCTTTTGAAAATGATTTGTTCTTCTCAAGTAGCAATGCTGGTGGTGATCCAGATGAGGACTGCAGCTGCTGAGTTTGCCCATAGTGGGGGGATTTAGTCCCGTATCCCTTGTGCAGTCTTGAGTGAGGTTCCTGAGCTATTATTAGTTATCAGGAAAAATGAACTAAACTAGAGCTTCTTGTGTTATCTTAAGCATAGGTCCTATATATCACTTGCTTCCTCATAGATTATTTTCATGTTGTTTATAATAATACATAAGCATATATAAGAGACAGCAAAACATTCCTTTTCAGCAGTTTCCTATTCTGAAAATACGATTTGGTTAAATGAAGGATTTATTATCCAGGGAAGGGCCCAGTGGGATCAATTAGACTGATGTAAAAAAAAAAATTACAAACCTTGCAACTTGTTAATGTAATTGAACTTCACAATGAATGTTTACAAATCCCATATGGATGCCAATTCTGCCTATTTCTTTTGGTGATGGAAAATCCATCACAAACACAGTGATGGATTTTCTAGTTACCTGGAGTCTGATTTGGTTCACTAAAGACCTAATGAGTTACATCTTAAAAGGTAGTTTTTGAGGTATCTAGTGGGTGTGAATGGAATTTGTGCAAGTATTTATCCAGTTCACCATATATAATTTTCTCTTCTGCTAAAGCTTTACCTTGAATGACTCCAGATGGTGGGATATCATCACTGTTCTTGAGTTGCTATTAAGAGCTACGTCTGCTTTCTTTTAAAGAAATGTTTGACTATAAAAAAAAAAAAAGAAGGCTGCAATTGATTCTGGCATGGAACAGTCCCAAGGAACTGCAATGCTACCTACACTTACCTAAGCTCAGTGGGACTTATTCTGAGTAACTATGGTAATATTGCAATAGGCCAGAACAATGGCTACCTCTCAAATATTTAAAAAAGAAGCACATGCAATCCAAATAGGTTTAATAGGCATCCTCCTTCTTGCCTATTCCATGACTCCTTCTGTGTACTACTCAGGAATTTTCATTAAGAGTCTCTCCAGTATTATTCTATGCTCAAGATGAATATTAGCGACAGGAGCCCCTGAACCAAACGTGATCCCCTTAGGCCAGTGTTGTCCAAACTTGGCCACTTTAAGATGAGTGGACTTCAACTCCCAACTCCCATGGCTGGCTGGGGAATTTTGGGAGTTTAAGTCCACTCATTTTAAAGTGGCCAAGTTTGGAGAACAATGCCTTAGGCACTACTGAGTTGTTT